CGCCGGGACACTGACCTGTAGTGGGTCGGCTTCTCAGTCTGCGGGGGGGACCCGCTCAGCGCCGCCGCCGCAGCTTTCGAAACCGACGGCATTTTCAGTCAAAACAATGCAGCGCGCATGCGCCGCGCGGGCCCGCCCCCTCGCGGAGCCCACCCGCGCCCCCAGCCCGGCCGGCCACGCCCACCCGTCCGGCCCTGGCCACGCCCCCAGCTGGCGCCTCTAGGGGAAGGCGGCCCGGCGAGCATCAGGCAGCTAACCAGCGCCCTGAGAGACCCGCGCGGACCCCAGACCCGGCCCCGCCAGGGACACACCCTGGGCACGCTGCTGCTGCCACTCCCGCTTCGCTGGTACACAGCGTTGCCCCTACCCCCGCGGCGCCCGGTAGTCCACGTGCACACCCACCGACCACTGCTGCCCGGCGATCTCTGCTCGCCCTGACAGTGCCCTCTGAGACCCTGACCCAGGGCCCCGGGAGGTGATGGAGCCGACAGGTCCCCGGTGTCGAGGCAGCATGCACAGGCTGCTCACAGTCGCACTTCACTCATTCATTTACTCTGACCCCGTGCTGGGTGCTGCGACCCCAAAGAATGGGTCCAATTGCTTAGGGCTGGGTGTGGGAGAGATGGTGGAGACATAGGGCGTGACTGCTCGTGGGAACGGAGCTTCTTTTAGAGAGTACCAACATGTTCTAAAACTAGATTGTGGTGATGGGTGCTCCCTGTGAATATACTACACATCTTATAACTGTATATTTTAAATGGGTGAATTGAATACTATGTGAACTATACATCAATGAAGCTGGTTTTAATGAGGAATCCAAGAAACTCACAGTCAAGGGGGAGACAGACACGTCCATCACCAACAAGGTGGGCACTCAGGGAGGGGAGGCAGGAGCTGCCCCAGCTCAGCTGGCCCTGGAGGACGAAGCAGGTTGGCATTCAGGACAGAACTCAGGCCCAGAGCATGTTATTTTGTAAATGTGTGACATAAAAGCCTTTTTAAAAAAAAAGTTCAACTTGGCTAGTAAATTTAAAAGATGCAAATAAAACAAGGCGGAGCCCTGGAGTGGGCAGAAGTTTTCTGTTCTGAACAGCAACCTGCGTGCGATGTTGGTGGCCTGCGGCTACACAGGCCCTTGAAGGAAGTGTGGCTGGGTGGGCAAAGGGGTGCTGACCTTCACAGAAAATGGTTTGTTCCATTTCTGGGAATTCTGATCTAAAAAAGAACCATATTCCTACAAAGGTTATGTACAAAGATAATTATTAGTATCATTTAGCAAAACTTTGAGAGCACCTACCAGCCAAGTAATTGGGAAATGGTTAAGTTCTGAGTACTATGCCATGATTGAATGACAATACTACCTGAAAATTGTTAGTGACATGAAAAATGCTCCTACTTAGGTGAACAAAGCAAGATATACAATTCCATATATTTGTTCCCAAGTGTGTAAATTAATTTGTGAACAAGTAATATAGTAAAATAACAAAAGCTATAACTTGATGGTGAGGTGAATGATTCTCTTCTGACGTTCACATTTTTGAAATTACTACCTGTACAAACATTCCATTTAAACCTGCAAATCAAAATTTATGGCAAAAAAGAAAATCAATGTGGGCTGGCCGAGTGGCACGATGGTTAAGAGCTGGCTTGGGACGCCAGAGGGCCCCGGTTCGGATCCCACATATGAGGGCCAGTGACACTGCCCTCCACAGCTAAGATGATGAATAACAGCTCAACCTGGAGCTGGGCTGCTGTGAGTTGCAGCAGGGGGCGTAGGCTGCAGCCCCTGTGGCAGTGGGTTGCCATGGGCTACCGTAAGTAGCCAGCAGCCAGCGTGAGCAGCCAGCAGCCACAGTGAGCAGCCGTCCAGAAGCCGGCAACTGATGTGCCTCGCCCGGGAAGAGCGCAATGATGGTGCCAACTTGGGCCAGTGAAGCAATGTCCTCCACTAGACTGAAGAACAAAAAGGACAGCAACTTGTCTGTTCCCATCCCCCAATTCCCCAGCACTGTTCCCATCCCCTCAATTCCCCAATAAAAATCTTTAAAAAAAAAATCAATGTGATATTTTCTAAGAACATAGAGCAGGAGAATGAAGTAGAGGACAGGGCCCATGAGTTCTATGGCAGAGGAATAAACAGATCTTGAAGAATGTCAGGAAGTAGGGAATGAAAAAGAAGTCTAGGATAATTTCAAAGTCCCTAGCTTGGAGGGATACAGAACAAAGAAACAGGTTTGGGACAGATGAAATTCATTTTGGATCTAAGCGTGTTTCAGGAACCTATGAAGTCCAGTACAGATGTAGAGAAAGCCACTTCGAGATCAAAAAAATGAAGTTAGAAAAAAAAGAAATAAAAGAAAAAAGAAAAAAAATGAAGTTGGGGCTCAAAGTTTAAGAATATGAGGATCTTTGATGTACAGGTGGGAGTAAAGATGCCTAGGGTTCCTCCCCAAGCATGAGGTATATTCCTTGAAGAGATCAAAGAGAACCGTGGTAGTATCATTTTTCATGCTTTTGAAGACTGTTATTAAAAGGCTGGGATAGTACCCAGACATATAAAATAATACCAGGGCTCTCACTGTGAATTTAAGTGTTTCTTTTTTTGGGGGGGGGGGGGACGCACAGCATGGTCAGAACCTTCCAAGATTGTTCAGTCACTTGGAAGACATGAGACCATTTAGTTAACCTCTTCTTCCTTGAATTTTCTTTAAAACAATTTTATTCTCCTTCTGCTCAACAATATCTTATCTCATCTCACAAATTACTGCAACTACTTCCATTCTAGCATGCTTACACTGGTCCTCTCCCTCTCGAATCCTTATTGGGTACTTACCTGGGGAGGTGACTGTGCCAAGCACCATGGGAAAAATAAAAGCTACAGCCCAGTTGGGTAAATAAGATGAGCATACTACAAAACTAGTTAAATAATAAAAGGATCTCATTAACAGTTCACCTGTCCACCTGCTCTGTTGCCACCCCTTTTTGCAAAGTCCAGGCATGGCAAGGGTCTGCCCACACTTGCCAGTGGGCCTTGGGTCCTACTTTTGCTCATGACAAAACCCAGAAAATAGCTACCCTGGAGGCACTCAGGTTCTGTTGCATGTGTTATAAGTGTCATCAAAAACAACACTATCTCCTTGTGTTTTTGAAAAATGGTATATTTAGATACACACACATAAAAAATCCGGAAAGGTAAACAACAAAGTATTAATAGTGGTTACCTTTAAGTGGTGGGATTATCAGGTGTTTCTGATTCTTTTCCTTTTGCCTTTTAATGTCTACTTATCCATATAAATCACATTGTTTTTCTCATGAGTTACTTTCAATTAAAACAAACATTCTTCTCATTAGTTCTGACTTTTTCCGCACCCCACACGAGCTAGTAAAAGTAAGGGTTCGAGTTTTGAATGCCTGTTGCTCAAACAAAATAGTTCACAACCAAACAGCTCACAACCACCCTAAGCCAGAGGAAGGACGTCTTAGTCCTTTGCTCCCAGTGGGACTGACAATGTAACTTGATTGGGTCAATTTTTCCAAACCTCGGTCTCTCCATCTCCATATACATACTTGTATCGGCCCTCCCTCCCTAACAAGCGTAACTGACCAAGGTGTGCCAGACACTCAAAGCACTTCAGCAGGGGACGTGTAAGAAGCCAGTACACTACCATACGGCCAGTTGGAGAGAAACCTCCAATTAACCTCCGCACCACAGAAAAAACCTTCCACTAGGAGCTTAAGTAAATAAAGTCTTCCCTTTATGCAGCTTGTATTTAATTCAGGATTAAGCAGGTTTCCTACTAAGTAGCCCTTGAAAAACATATCATTTAGATACTCAAAACACTGTAATTTGTCAAAGAAAAAACTCACCAGTTTTATTCTACTCAGCAAGCTGTTGACTTGCTAAAAATAAAAATTTGCAGACAGCTGAGAAAGTTCCATTATTTCTGGCATTGTCTAACAACGTATTCCATAATTTACATTTGTTTCTTACCTCAGTTCCTATTCTGGAAAAAGAAAAACAAAGGTATTGAAAAAGGACTAAAAGCTTCCTTTTTTAAAATGGGATGCAATAAAAGGGTATTGACTTAATTCTACATCAGATTAAAATTTATTATCAATTTGTTAGTTTGTAAAACTAACATCAATATATACACACCACAGTACATTTATAAAATAAAAAGTTTAACTTTTCTGCAGTTATTCTGTCTCAGAAAGCACATAACCTGCAAACTGGATTACAATGGATTACAAGTGTCACCAGAATTGCTTGGGAAACATGATAATGTACAAAATCACAACTCCAACAGTACACACTGCAACCAAAATGTTTTCTATGGATCTGAAAAGTCTTTCGGATGTATTCGCTGGACATCAGGTATCAGGCAAGGAGCCGGTTCGGATCTGCTGACATTATGCTCTCCTTCCCGCAGGTCAGCTTGGCCAGGTGCCATCCAAATCCTCTAGTCTGGGGACGCACATAACCACTATAGAAACTGTCAAACACGACGTCAAAGCCTAAGGACGGCTGCCTCGTCCCTCGCTGCCTGCCACCCACAGGCACCCTTTTAAGTTCTCGCCCTGTGGGCGGCTGGAGTTGCAGTTTCCTCATAACGATTGCTAGCCTCCAGCATCTCTTCTTCCAACACCTGTCTGACCCAGCGGTCCGTGCCGGTCTCCTGCCTAAGGAAGCACCAAATGACCAGAAACATGAGGGACAGGCTGAAGGGCAGCACTTTCCACCAGGGCCGCTGCCGCTCCCCTCCCAGGGAATGCTCCACCGTCCAGCGGGACGGGTTGGCTTTGCTGGAGGAAAACAGAATGGGGCGGTTAGGGTCGTCTTCTTCGCCCTCGGCCGCGGGCTGGGCCCGGGCCCGGCCACAGGGAGGCGGATGCAGGCTTCGGGAAGCCCAGCGCAATAGCCTCAGCGCCCGGACGGCCCTGGAAAGAGAGAGAGCAGTGAGCGCGCCGCCCGCCGCGCCCGCCCTGAGCCCCGCCGAGATCGCGCGGAGCTCACCCGGCCGCCGGCATACACAGGACACGGCACATCATGACCCCGGCTCCGCATTCGGAGCGGCGGCGCGCCACGCTCGCGCCACTTCCGTCGCACGAAACCGGAAACCGGACGCCGTTCCAGGTCTCCGCTCACGACTACAGAACGTGGGGCCACTTGCGCAGCGGAAATGACGCAAGTCTCTCGGCGGCCTCTTTCGTCGCAGGCCCGGTCTCCGCGGGTCGCAAAGGCAGGCTGGGAAATGTAGTTCTCCACCGTCCCGCAGCGAAACTAGCGGGCCCGTCCCTGGGCAGCAGCGCTGGGATTGAGGTCGGCCGGTGGGGCGCGGGTGTCGTCCTCGGACGAGCTGGCCTCAGAGCGGTCTCCCTAGCGGGCAGGGCTCACCGGAGATCGGGGCCCTCCGCCTACACCTAGTGCTGGAGCAGCCCCTGGGCACCTCCTCCCCGCAGCCTTGTGACGCCCCGGTTTGCTCTCTTCTTGGGACTTTCAGCCACGGAAGTCATCTTGTCCCCTCGATTAGTGTTCCCCACTAGGACGGAGCTCCTTGAGCACAGAGCCTGCCCGCCGGTTCTCCCCGTCCCCGCCCGTGCGCTCCGGGACTTGTGCTGCCATGTGACCACAGGTCCACTCCCACGGCCTGGCGTTTTCCGTTGCTCTGTGCTGCGTCTTGTTAGAAAAGGTCCTAGTCTTTTCTGTCAAAGAACAGCAAATTCAAAAACATACTTCCTCATTATTGTCTAGTAGTACCGCATTTTAAAGCTTACTTAATCTTGTAACTAGGCGGATCTTACTTTTTTTTTATTAGCCAATCGGTTTAGATTGTAAGGTCACGCTCTAGCCAATAGTGTATGACATAGTGGAACCCGCGTTAGGGATCAAAGCTGAGTGGACTTCCTGCTCTGTGTTTGCTAGACCGACTTACGGTGGCTCCGCACCCTTCTCCAGAAGTAAAGTTTGCCTTGCCGAGTAACTTTTTTTTTTGCCATGTTACTTTTTACTCCATTTGTCTTTATTTGCGACACGGTTAAATTCTATCAACAATTGGGGGCTCATCCGGCATCTCTAAGCCATTCGGGTGAGTGCCCCGACCCCCACCACACACACGGAGGAGCCACGTCCTACTGCCTTGTTGCGGTAGCCTCCGGGTATCTGGGGAGCTCGCTGGTCCCCAAACTGGCAGGGACCGTACGGTGAAAGTATCTCGGCAACGCGGGAAAAGGCCTGAGCAAGCACAGCAGCGACCAGGTAACTCCTCGCACCGTCCAAGGTAAGAAACGCCACAGAGGGTGGCAAAGTATTTCCTTGGTGGTCGGGTCATTCCGGAGGTTGTATGAGTGTGAATGAGACATGTCTGAGACACGAAGCGAGTGTGGAGTCCCGATTCTCAGTTCCATTGATATCTTGGTGACTGTGTTGGCTGGCGAAAATAACTCTCCAAAATGATGCATAAAAGAAAAGGGTTTATTTGGAAGAAAGCAAAAAAAAAAAAAAGAAAGGGAGAGAGAGCTATTTCTAGATGGCTCTTTCTATTTATATCATCTCTTCCCTCCCACCCCCCAAGGTATCATAAAGTTAAACATGGAGTCAGGGTCACAGAGTTAACAAGGGGCCCTTCTGCACCCACTCTATGGTCAACCATGACAAAATGCCAGTTCACTTTTATCAACTTCATATGGCTTAAAGCAGTCCTCAGTTCTCTGAGACCTAGTCGGGGGCTTATACCAACCTACCAATTGCTAAGAAGCACCAAGTAAGAGATATGTCCTGTGAGGGAAAGGGTCGGAGCCTGACGAAGCAAGTCGGGAAAGAGTGCAAGAAACCTCCAATAAGGGGGGTTGAGTATAACACTCAGAACCAGGGATCCTGGATGGGAAACAATCAAAGTAGGAAAAGTTCTGATCAGACAAGGAAAAAGAGGAGGGAGACAAACCTTGGGATCCCCTTACTTGCCTTCCCCCTCCTTATAATCCTCAATCCCTATCTCCTCCCCTACAAGAACAACAAGAGCCTCCAACTGAGGAACCAGCTGAGCCGACTGCACCGGCCTTTCCCCTCGCTCCACCCCTCCCTTCCCCTGTGAAGAAGAGAGGTGGAACAATACAAAAAGGACCAAGTTTGCCCTTCCCCTCTGAAAGAGAAAAACTCAAGAGCCTCTACCCACTTTGGGAAATTCCCCTAGGAGGAGGAGGAATTGGATTTGTTAATGCCCCTCTCACGAGCTCTAAGGTCCGAAATTTTAAAAAGGAACTAAAATCCATTTTAGAAGATCCCCATGGAGTGGCAGACCAATTAGACCAATTCCTGGGCCCCCAAAATCTACACCTGGGCAGAGCTCATGTCTATTCTCAGCATTTTATTCTCTGGAGAGGAGAAGGCAATAATCAGGAGAGCAGCCATGGCAGCCTGAGCGGGAGAACACCCGACTGGTCAAGGGGTTCCGCCCCCAGAAGTAAAATTTCCCAATAAGGAGCCTCAGTGGGATAACAACAAAGCCCATAAGGGCCATATGAGGGACCTACGGGATCTGATTATAAAGCAGCGGTTCTCAACCTGTGGGTCGCGACCCCTTTGGGGGTCGAACGACCCTTTCACAGGGGTCACCTAAGACCATGGAAAACAAAAAAATATTTACATTATGATTCATAACAGTAGCAAAATTACAGTTGTAGAGTATATATATATATATATATATATACTCTCTCTCTCTCTCTCTCTCTCTATATATATATATATATATATANGAGAAAAGTTTAGTAAAAACATAGATTTCATAGGTCAATATACAGTCCACTACTATGTTTCTAGTAAGTATATTAATGGTCTGGTACCTGACAGGCACGAAGTGATTGCAAGTCAATCATAGCATTTACTGCCTAGGTCTATAAGAAACAGAGAAAAAGATTAGTGGGTGAGGTACAATGCAGGTGAGGTCAAGATTCCCCTAGGGTCAGAAATTTGAAGCTGGAAGTAACCATGAGCATATAATCCCTGAAGATATACAGCAATACTAAAGAGGCCATAGGTTGAATGGAAGGCTTTAGCTGACATCCGGGTTAAATGTAAAATGAAGGTGTTTGACTATCAGCGGTTCTCAACCTGTGGGCCCCGATCCCTTTGGGGGTTGAATGACCCTTTCACAGGGGTCACCTAAGACCATGGAAAACAAAAAGATATTTACATTACGATTCATAACAGTAGCAAAATTACAGTTATAGAGTAGCAATATATATATATATATATACTCTCTCTCTCTCTCTCTCTCTCTATATATATATATATATATATATAGAGAGAGAGAGAGAGAGAGAGAGCAACAAAAATAATTTTATGGTTGGGGGTCACCACAACATGAGGAACTGTATTAAGGGGTCGCGGCATTAGGGAGGTTGAGAACCGCTGTTATAAAGGGAATAAGGGAGTCAGTACCCCGCTCCCAGAACATTACTAAAGCTTTTGACATACAACAGGGAAAAGAGGAAGGACCAGCGGAGTTTCTCAGTGAGCTTAAAGATCAGATGAGAAAACATTCTGGATGAAACCTAGAGGATCCACTAGGACAAGAGACGCTGAAGCTCCATTTTATAACAAACACTTGGCCCAACATTGCAAGGAAGCTGCAAAAACTAGAAAACTGGCAAGACAAGTTTAGAGGAGCTATTAAGGGAGACTCCAAAGGTATATGCAAGAAGAGATCAAAAACAAAAGGCCAAGAGAATGCTCTCTACTATAGAACAAGCTACTAAGGGAAAGGCCGAACCCAGGGGCCAAAGGCACGTGGGGCAGCAAGAGGAACACAACCCCAAAGCAATCCCAAGGAAAGAAATAAGTGCTACAATTGTGGAAGAGAGGGTCACTTTAAGAGAGAATGCCCTGAACTAAAAAGGGAAGAGAAAGCAACACCTCTCATGACCTTCCAGGAAGAATAGGAAAGTCAGGGGCTCTTTTACAACCAGGGGTCCTACCAAGAGCCCTTGATAAATTTTGAAGCAGGACCCAAGAAAGAGGAACTAATATTTCTAGTTGACTCAGGGGCAGCTCGTTCCTTTCTCTCCAACCCCCTGGCTTGAACCTATCTAAAACACATCTAGTCTCGGGTAAAAGGGGAGGAATTTACAGTCCCCGTCTTTGAAGAAACTCAGGTCATATATCAGGGCAGATAGGCACAGATAAAGTTCCTCTTTGTCCCTGATGCTGGAACTATCCTCTTGGGCCGAGATTTAATGTCTAAACTAGGAATAAGACTTAACATCACACAAGAGAAAATTCAAGTTTCCCTAAACTTTCTAGCCACAAAGGATGAAAAAAGGATACTCTGTGAAGTCTGGTCAAGGGAGGGTAATCGGGGTGGCTTAAAGATCTCCCCTATTTGGGTTGAACTGAAGAACAAAGGGGAGACAGTTAAAAGGAAACAATATCCCATACCTCTACAAGGGAGACTAGGACTAAAACCAATCATAGAAGGCCTAGTTAAAGATGGCCTCCTTGAACCTTGTATGTCTCCCTTCAACACCCCAATACTACCAGTAAAGAAGCCCGATAGGTCCTACTGCCTTGTTCAAGACTTAAGGGCAGTCAATCAGTTCAAAGCAGACACCCTGTGGTCCCAAACCCCTATACTCTTCATAAGATCCTGCCAGAAAATAAATGGTTTAGTGTAGTGGACTTAAAAGATGCCTTTTGGGCCTGCCCCCTAGCTGAGAAAAGCAGGGACCTATTTGCCTTTGAATGGGAAGACCCCCTTATTAGTAGGAAACAACAATACAGATGGACTATCCTTCCCCAAGGATTTACGGAGTCACCAAACCTATTTGGACAAGTGTTAGAACAAGTACTAGAAAAGTTCACACTATCCCCCACCCCCATCAAATTGATTTAATATGTAGATGATTTGCTACTCTCAGGTAGTCAAAGGGAGAATTGGTAGATGTTACCATAGACTTACTAAATTTCCTTGGTCAACAGGGTCTACGAGTCTTCAAGACCAAATTACAATTTGTAGAAGAAGTCAAGTACTTAGGACACCTGATAAGCGAAGGGAGGCAAAGGTTGAGCCCCAAACGGATCTTGGGAATAATCAATACACCCTTACCAAACACAAAAAGGGAACTTCGAAAACTCTTAGGACTAACTGGATACTGCAGGTTATGGATAGACTCATATGCTCTCAAGACCAAGGATCTATATCTCAAACTGTTAGACAAGGAGCCTGACCCCCTCCTCTGGAAACCTAGAGAAATAGAATTAATAGAAGTCCTCAGACAGGCCCTTATTACTGCCCCTGTACTAGCATTACCTTCGTTAGAAAAGCCCTTTCACCTTTTTGTCAATATCAATAAAGGTACTGCTCTTGAAGTCCTAACCCAAGAACATGGAGGTAAAAGACAGCCAGTAGGATATCTATCCAAGCTCCTTGATCCAGTAACAAGGGGCTGGCCAGAATGCGTCCAATCCATAGCGGCCACTGCAATGTTAGCTGAAGAGAGCAGGAAAATAACCTTTAGAGGACAATTAATTATTAGCACCCCACACCAGTTCAGGGTAATTCTTCATCAAAAAGTAGGCAGATGGTTGACAGATTCCAGGATTCTCAAATATGAAGCCATCCTGTTAGAAAGAGATGATCTAATCCTGACCACAGACAATTGTCTGAATCTGGCCACCTTTCTAACTGGAAGTAAATCATCGGACCCGATTGAGCATTGTTGCATGGACCTCATAGATTATCAGACAAAAGTTAGGCTAGACCTTAGGGAAACTCCTCTCCTGAGAGGGTTAAAATTCTTTGTAGATGGCTCCTCCCAAGTACTAGAAGGAAAAAGACATACCGGATACTCTATTGTAGATGGAGAACGACCTGCTGTTATTGAATCGGGAAGGCTACCTAATGGCTGGTCAGCCCAGACATGCGAATTGTTTGCACTAAATTAGGCCTTGAAACTTCTAAAGGAAAAGGAAGAGACTATCTACACAGATTCCAAATATACCTTTGGGGTGGTACACACATTTGGAAAAATTTGAACTGAAAGAGACCTTATTAACAGAAAGGGCCGAAATTTAATACACAGGAATTAATTACCCAGGTCCTAGAAAACCTCAAGTTGCCTGAAAAAATAGCTATAGTACACATACCAGGACACCAGAGGGGGTACTCTATAGAAGTACAAGGAAGTTGGCTTGCTGATGAGGCTGCTAAGGAAGCAGCACTCCAGCTGGAAGCTCCCGTTTTCCATCTCACTCCTGTCCTACCCCCTCTGGTTACTACCCC